CATTTTATCTTGGGAACAGATACCAACTTTGCAAGCAGAACATATATGTATTCTGTTGTTTCTTCTGTAGAGTTACAATGGAATAGTGTCATTCAAAAAGTTGAAATCACAGCTGAGATCTAAAAGTTTTTAGAAGTTGAGGTCGGTATTTCCTCACAGGCTTTATGTGACATCATTTTGTGTCCATGTTATGATAAAGCCTCACGATTTCACAAATATGTTCTTCCCCTGCTTTTAGTCCATAAAAGCTCTTGTATGTTTCTTTAAGAAAAAAACACTTAAATATTTTCTGCAAGAATCAAAGCTGTTATAATTGATATTGTTACAGGAGTTTTTAAATGCCAGAATTATGCTAAATAATTTGTCAAGTGTGGCAAATTACATTTGCAACTAACTGGTGCGTTTTTGGACAAAAGTAATTTTTGGAAGCTCTTCTGTCTTTACTGGCTGCTGTGGTTGCATAGGGGTGAATTCCCAGCTTGCAGGAAAAGAAAGAGAGGAGGTTCTGGAATGACCCTCCAGAGGCATGAAGTGTATCCCTCGTTGTGCCAAGGTTCCTGTGTGATGGTGCAGTTCCTCTAGCCCTTTGCAGGTGGTCTTTCCTCTTCCAGACTTTTAACTTAAAAGACTGTGATTTGAAGGACTGTCAAGTACTTTTAATGGTAGCTGAATCAGTGGGAACTCTGTTCTCGCTATATTAGGTGCTGTAGCCACCCCAAACACCACTGGATTCTAGGTGCATCAAACCAGGCCCCCACATTAATGGATATTTTTGATCAGAGACTGTGTAAATGGCATATTTTTCAAAGGTTATGACAAGAGAAAACTTGGTTTTCCATGGTGATTGCAAAACGTCTACTGGTCAGCAAAACTGCAAGACTTTAATGGACATGAAGTGCTAAAGTCCAGAGATAGGATCACCTGCATTATTAACATGAAAGGTATTTTTCATTTAGCCATCTCTTCAAGGCTATTGCTGAAACATAAAGAAATTACTTGAAAGCAGGAAATCTGACAGTTAATACAGATCACAGTCAGAGCTTTCCAACACTATAAATAGCCAAAAACTGTCTTAGAACATGACAGTGCTACCAGCTCTGTGGAGGATAAAAGCAATTAACATGTAAAATAAACATAATTTTTACATAGCTAAGGAAATCTTATTCATGGAGGACACCCAACCTTCCTTAAACTCTCTCCTCCATCTATAAATTATTTTTCCTGCTTCAGGGTTGGAGAAGGGTCATTATTGTTCTGTCACTTGTCCCTTCTACTGATGAGAAACATTGCTCAGATGCTGAATGCTTCTTTAACTGAGGAACTAGCTACTGTGTTCCTCAGATACAGCTGCACTGCCTGGGAACCTTCTTCATGGTTTCTTCATGTAGATTTTGTCGGTGATGAGTGGCAAGAGTGTCCTTGATAACTGTGCTACTGTGCAGCATGGTCTTTGAGAGCGCTGCCTCATTTGATTTGCAAGAACATAGTTAATGACTGTACAGAGGCTGTGTGAGAAACTGTCTTCAGTTCTGACAAGTGGACCTAACAAATCAGAAGGGTTAAAGAAATGCATGTTGTTAGCCATGAAAATTACTTAATATTCTGAATTTTCATTTAGAGTCTCTGCACTAATTATTCCCTTGGCAGCAGTAACCACTAAAGATATTGTCCCTGTTCTAAAGATAAAGAAAGGCAAAGCTTTTGAAATGTGAAATATTAAAAATTATGTTTTGATTTTAGTATCTTTATTCCCCTTATCTGAAGAGCTTTTTTTATTAAATAAACATGAACTCTGTTCAGCAACTTTATAAAGACTGTTTTGTTCTAAAGGAGAAAAAGTAGCTGAGAAGAAACAGATACGTGGTTGCTGCTTCATGTCTAAGAGGCACTCGGTTGAAAGGCAGGCAGTGCTGCTCCTCTCTCTCTCTGGCATAGGCTTGCGCTTTACAGCTTCATTTCTGAAAAACACCAGGCTGCAACACTGGTCAACCTGGCAATCCTGTACTGGCATCAAACTGTCCTTGCTTTTAGCTTCTGCCACCCTGGCAAGTCCACAGCAGTGAATGATGCTGGCCTGGCTACCTAAAGCAGACTGTTCCTATGGCAGACAGGGAAAAGTGTGACTTCATACTGCTGCTCAAAATTAAAACCATGCAGCGCACAGAGTTGTCTTACACAAATATGAGGAAACTGCAGTTGTGAAAAGTGGAGCTTCAGACATTTTTGGAAGGGGAAAGGTGCCCTATTAGGTAGGTGAAATCTCCGAGTTTGATTTTTGTTTTCACTGGCAAGCAGATTTACATGAAAAGGATCTGACATTAGGAATAGAGAACTGGTAAGGTCCTTAGTGGAGGGAGTCAAAAGAGCAAATGCAGAGATGTAGTAAAGCCCAGCAAGCCAATGGATACAATGAATCTCCAGAATTTAATAAAATGTACCGCTATTTTTCTGTGTACTTGCATACTCTTACTTCCAGCCCCATGGGGTATACTGGCCATGAAACTGGTATCACTACCCATCTGTACGGTGGTAATAACTGTAATTAGTGGCAGTAGAGCTCCTTCCAAGGACATCTTAGCCCACAAAGTAATTATGAGCTCATTACTAGCAATCAGCACATCCCTGTGTGGAGATTTACCCTTGCTTGAGTCACGCTTCCCCCTTAGGGAGTCTGGGTCTTCTAGTTTCTGGACCCAGAGATGATACAATAATTGGGCATTATTCCTTGCAAATCACAGTGTTGCTAAGGTTGGACGGGACCTCTTGAGATGAGCTAGTCTACCCCCTTGCCCAAGCAGGCTTGCTCAGGATTCTATCCAGTTGGATTTGAGTATCTCCATGGATATGCCACAACCTCTCCAGGCAACTTATTACAGTGTTTGACAACCTTCACAGTATTTTAATGTGTTCAGATGAAATTTCATGGTTTTTAATTTGCCCTTGTACTTGCAATACCAAACTGTGAGTGGTTTTGAAGATGTGAGGCTGTTTACTCTTTACCTTAACTCTCAAATTCTAGTAAGTCCCGATTCTTTTCTAAGGCACACACGGCCCATTAGTGATGATCTTTTTGCCACTATGAAGAGAACAGTCTTGAACTGAAGAGAGGATGGAGCCTACCAGATCTGCATTACCTAATAAACAATACTTCAGCTTCTTCAGCTGTTATGTCATCAGTCTGGTGAAAAAAGGTATTGCTGGCATCTCCTTTACAGTAAAAGCTGCCAGTTTGTTGTCAAACATGTTCGATGTCATGGTGCCGCATTACCTGTAATTGGCAAGATTTAGTCCAGTCTGTTTGATGTAATTTAAGTAACCGCTTATTCTGTGCAAGTAATATTATGCATGACTCTTTAAGCCCAGCTGTGATGTAACTACTCTAGCTTTCACTGTGTTCCCTTGTCAACTCAGAAACTGCCCTGGTGATTCCTTGCTTTACAGGAGGCGTATTTACTGGTACCACAGTTACTTAGTAATGTAAACAAAGATAGGCCTAAATAATGTACCTGTGGGCTAAAAAACATTTTTAGGATGAGGTAAAAATAGTCACTCAAGAGCACATGAACAATACCCTGATGCTACTTCAGGAGTTAACTTTTTTCCGAGAAATAGAGAATTTGAGGAAAAATCAACCCTATAATACAAGGCACATATGTGAATACTAATTATTTAGATGGAAGCTTGGGAACATCTCTCTCAGTACTGGTTTAGCATGATTCATTACCAAAAAAGTTATTGAAAATGTTTTTGTGGACACGGTGATAAAGTATAAAGCCCAAACTTCTAAAATACTGTAAAATGCATACTTAAGAACTGCTGTAGTAGCCACCTGTGGTCTTTTTTTCACTATTACATGAGAACAGGTGAGCCAAATGCATCAATAGTCTGATTAATCCTGTATAAAACTTCAGCTTTTACCTGTCATCACAGCTTTACATGAGGTATATGTGAGGCTAAATATTCCAGACCCAGGGAATTCTAAGAATTATATTTGCTGTTTTGCAACTGGATGGAGTACATTAATGCAGTGAAAGACAGAAGCATGCACAGAACAGTAGTAACAAATGGGAAGCAAACAGGAAGTACAGGACAGTTCGGTGGGGATTTTGGTTGTTCTGGAAACACCAAACCCTGTGTCTCATGTACTGGTGTCTCCTCATGTACTCTAAGCAATTAACTGCTAACATTTTGTACTGGCAGGACCAGCACTGGCTAAAAGACTTATTTCAGGCTGCATTTGTTTCTCAATGCCTTCAGAGTCAGCAGCAAGGGAAGAGAAGTTTCAAAGTTTTGACCTTTATTTGGCTTAGCCTGTATGCAATATGAAGTAATTTTCACTCAAATCATGGAGTCTTAAAATATTCCAGTGTTTAACATTAAGGATTAGTCCAGACTGAGTGGTTCTTAGGATTTATTTTTCACTCTCCACCTAACTCAGATTTCCCTTTTTACTCCCTTCTCTACTTGGTTCTTTTGGAAGTATTACAAGTTTTCCAGCGCCCTAAGCACCTGATCTGATGTTTAGATATGCATAAGATCAAGCCTTATCTGAAAAAAAATTACAATTCTAACATGACATGCTTTCATTCTAACTAAACAATTATAAGCTGTCTCTGAACAATGTAAAATATTCTTTCTAGGAGGTTTTTATTTACTTTTTCCTTCATTTGCTTTGAAAACAAACAAAAAAACACATTGGAAGGAAAAGGATTGTGTCTCACAGGATTCTATATTGAAACATCCAAACACTGTTAGAAGTTTGTAGCAAGATCTTTTAAAAAAGATGTTCTGTCCCATTACGCAGTAAAACCAACAAAAGATACAAATAATGAAAACAGCTGGTATGAAGGAAACAATGGCTTTTTAGTTCAGTGTCTGTCTACAACCAGCAGCCCTTCAGGAGGGCTCCATAACCATATTCTGCCTCTGCTGTAGCATCTCTTTGACTAGACACACCAGAAGTCCATACACAAATAAATACACATTATCGTAAGTCAGGAACTAGTGCTCACTCAAAGTTTTTATTAAAATTGAACACAGGGAAGTACTCGAACATACTTCTGGTTGAGAATCTAGACAACCAGAATGTTTTCAGGATCACCTGGTTTTACAGAATTCCAGAATCTCAGTTAACCCTTTTGAGCGTACATTCACAAGAACATCAAAGTGAGCAAGCACACTGTTACTCAGCCAACAACCACTAGGTCATCACCAACAAACTGGTGAATGGGAACCTCAAGGTTATAAGGAGCGGGACCTTTCCTGATTCTGCCAGAGGCATCGTAATGGGAGCCATGGCAAGGGCAGTAATAACCGCCAAAATCTCCAGAGTTAGCAATGGGCACACAACCAAGATGAGTGCAGACACCTATTAATATGACCCATTCTGGTTTCTTTACTCTGTCTAAGTCATGTTGCGGATCCCTCAGTTTAGACAAGTCAACTTTAGCTTCCTGATTAATCTCTGCCTGGGTTCTGTGACGCACAAAAAGGGGCTTCCCTCTCCACTTGAAAGTCACGTTCTTGCCTTCTGGAATGTCAGATAACTTGACCTCAATCTTTGAGAGCGCTAGCACATCAGCAGAGGCACTCAGGCTGGAAATAAACTGGGTGACAACATTCTTAGCAGCATATGCAGTTGCTACACACGTCGTTGCAGTCATCAGGTAGGAAAATCCTTTTCTAGCGTCACTGCTGCCTTGAGAAGATGTGGTGGGACTTAGCACATCTTGACGACGATAGGCAGAGAAGTCAGGTACTACGACATCATTATGGACGAAACGAACGCTAGCAGGTGCTGCAAGAAAAAAAAAGACTATTGAGTGACAACACTTTCAGGTAAAAAAATATTAAAAATATTATATTTTAAGTTATACTTTTAAAATTGCATTTGTGGAATAATGGGTAAAAGTTATTCCAAAGTTTGGGTAGGACTCCACTAGTTATACATTTCAATTTTAAGCTGCAGGAAAATGATTTCCAGGAAGGTATTTTTGGTAGATGAACAGGTGATTTGTGAAACTGTTTTACTCCTTCTTTGAAAATTACAGAAAGCCTGATAAGGATGAAGGAAAATCTGCCAGAGTTCCAGGTTTAGAGTGAACTGTTTTTTTAGAAGATTTCAAGGAACAACTCCTGCAGGATACCATGGCTAACTAAGGAAAGACAGACCTGTTTTCTACTCAAATGTTGTCCTGAAAAAAAACTGTGAAGAAATTTGATTTAGTAAAGTTTGCACATCTGTAGCTCAATACTTTTGTGCTTTCCTTTAACTTAAGATTATTAAAGGCATAGAAGTTACTTAAGTGTGGGGTTAAGCATTTTTAAGACTAAAATCGCAGTATTGGGTATTAACTGTAGTCAAAGCTACCTGCCCCAGTAAATAATTTTTAAATGTGCAGTCCCGTATTTGCCAAGGTCACTTCATAGAAGGATTTAGGGATATAGCTAATAATTATCCAATTCTCAAGCTTTTCAAGAGGCATTCCCATGTCAGACCTGTGTGTAAACCTAACAAGATGTGATGCCATTAGTTTCTCCAGCAAAAGAAAGCTACCCCCCTCAATGAAAATCTGTAAGCCAAAGAACACACCAAAGACAGAACACATTACTTGCCAAAGTGCAACCTTTGTTATCTGAAAACAACTATTTTACTCTTTTTTTTTTTCCTAGCAGTTGGCACAAAGTTAACAGGGATTAATAAAATCCATTCTCTCAAAGTACTTAAAATAACTCGCAGGGATTTATATGCAATATAATGGGGAAAAATATTTACATATCTTTACAAGTAATGCAGAGAAGGTATTTGCTGTAGGATTTTAACTGCAGAGAACTCAATCTGAAATTCAAAATTCTGAGAGTAAACCATATTAATTTATTTGAAATTAGTATGTACCAGTATGTATCAAGACTTAAAATATTTTACATTTAGTAACAAGCAATATGATTAACTTCTAAAAATTTCTTCTATTCAGTGAAAAGCGTGCTTGATATTAATTAAAACTAAGAGTAAGACTAAATGTCACCTACATTAGTTACAAATTTGTACATTTTTCACCTGAACACATCCTTTACAGCTAGGGATCAGGTGAAGAACGTAGTTCTAATCACTACAGAGCATCTTCCACAAGGCGCTGCCACCTCCAGGGCTTATCAATGTCCTACTTAACAGCACGAAGCAAACTGCTGGGCCACGCTCAGCATCGGCCGGGCCGTGGCTCTCCAGGACGTGCCAATCGGGCCCTGTGGCCGAAGGCTGGTTCGCAGGAACGAGGCGGGATGCTTTTCTGAACACTGCACCAACGGGGGGGAAACCAGCGATTCCATAAGAGGAAACAGCGATGGCTTTGACATAGTGAATTCACATACCCCGTGTGCTCACCGCACACCTCTGCTTTGACGACGCTCGGTTAAACGCCTTATTGAACTACACGGAACTTTCCTGCGTCTTCCCAACCGCAAACTAAACATCCACCCGAGACTCATCGAAAGGAATCAGGGTTTCAAGTGCCTCTAACTCTACAGCCATAAACGCGTGTTACAGTAATGATAACTGGCAATCAAGTAATTTTTTTAAAGAAAAAAGGCAGCAAAAGCCAGAACCTCTCAATTCAGTCACGACTCTGCTCCCCCCAGCTCGCCAGGCCCGACCCCGAGCGTGGAGCATCCCCTCGACAGCCGCCTCCCCCGTCGGCCCAGGCCGAGCGCACTTCTGTGATAACACATGACC